CAGCCAACATCTACTCCATTGGCGGGGGAAAGGAATGGAAGTCTGCGTGCCAGCACTGGTAACTGGAGCGGTCCCCTAGAGGACAGACCGTGCGCTGAGCATGTCGGAAAATGAACGTCGGCAAAGAGCACACGCAGGAAAATACAATTAATAAATCCTCTGGTGTGCAGGTTTTCAGTCAGAGAAACCCTGCCTGCTAAGAAAAGCGAGAGGAGGAGGAGGAGCTTTTTTTTTTTTTACTCGACGAGTGGGGCCTCGTGCCAAGCCGATGCGTGTCAGCAAAATGTGTATAGTGATGGCGGCCCGTCGCTGGATCGGGCATCTCTAGCCCGTCCTGTCCTGGCACAGCTATGCAGGCGAGTGCGCTCGGCAGTGCTTCAACGTCGAGGCGGGGGTCAGTCTGCACGCGAGGGTAAAATTGCGCCTCTCTCGGAGGCCCCGTGCACCATGCTGCGAAGGGGTGGAAAAAAGGACAGAGTGGCATTCGGCACAGGCCAATGCGGGGCCGCCCTATTCGTCGAAGTCAAACGGACAGTAGTCGTCGATCTGATCGACGGCAGGCGCGGCAGACTGGGAAAAGGCTGGAGATGCAGCAGCGGTGCCCCCTAAGGTTTCTCCTTTTACAAACACTACTTGCTGAGGACGTCGAGCCAGCTCGCTAGCTCGTCCTCCAGCCATCCTGGAGGGGCTGGCCCTGTGTGGCGGGTGGCCCGCCCCTCTGCTATGAACGCGTGCGTCACCACGCCCCTCATCGGCCACTGCGGGGCCGCGATCTGGATCTTCACCTCGGTGTCGTCGTGGCACTTCTCGACCCTGACCGCGGCCACGTCGAGCTCGATATTCATCTTCCTGATTGATGGCTCTACTCCTGGCTCCGACGGGGTGACGCCGTCTAGATATGCGGCGGTGTCCTTCTTGCTCTTGCCCCCAATGTCGCAGCGCATCAAGCTCTCTAGAAGGCCTACCACGAGCGAGGCAACAGGGCTGCCGATCTTCTGGAGAGCCTCGATGCCAGACTGCCTCGCCGCCTCGACGGCCTTGCGGTATTCCACTAGCACGGCCTCCAACTTCTGCACCACCTCGTGATCTTTGAGAGAGCGTGATCCACCGCCGCTTTACTGTGGAAAATTGCCAACCTTTTCCTCCGGAACCCGGGGGTCGCCCCCCCCCCCCCGAAAATCCCCCCCCCCCCCTGCTGGAACCCCTCCCCCCCCCCCCCCCCCTCCTCCCCCGGCAAAACCCCCCCCCCCTAACCCCTCCCCCCCCCCCCCCCCCCCCCCTCCCGCTCGAAAACCGGGGGGGGTCACTACCGGTTCGAACCCCCCCCCCCCCCCCCCCCCTCCGGATCCGGAAAACCGGGGGGTCACTACCGGTTCGAACCCCCCCCCCCCCCCCCGCCCCCCCCTACTCACCGCCAGCAAACGACTCCCGGTCCCCACCACCGTCCGCATCACATCCCCCACTGGTGTTCCCAGCACCACTGTCCTCACCACCGCTGTCCCCACTGGTTCCACCACCGCCCCTACTGTCCCCACCAGTGGCCCCACCACTGTCGCACTGTCCCCGCTGTCCCCAGAACTGTTCCCACCACGGTTCCACTCTCCCCACTGTCTCCACGGCCCCAACCACTGCCCGACTATCCCCACTGTCCCCACTGTCCCACTGACTCCTCCGCTGTCCCACTGAGCTGTCCCACTGTTCCCACCACTGTCCCCACTGTCCCCACCACTGTCCCCACTGTACCTCTGTCCCATTGTCCCACCGCCGTCCTCGCCACCGCCTTCACCACTGTCCCCACCACCATTGTACCCTCCACTGTCCCACTGTTTCCACCTCATTCCCATTGTCCCCACACCACTGTCCCCACCACCACCGTCACCACCACTGTCCACTGTCCCCCCCTGTTCCCACCATTGTCCCCACCACTGTCCCCACCACTACCGTCCCCACCACTGTCCCACTGTCCCACTGTCCCCACCACTGTCCCGCTATCCCCTCACCACTGTCCCCACCAACACCGTCCCCACCACTGTCCGCACCCCCACTCGGTTTTCGAGGGGGGGGGGGTTCGAACCGGTAGTGACCCCCCCCCGGTTTTCCGGATCCGGAGGGGGGGGGGGGGGGGGGGGGAGGGGTTAGTGGCCCCCCCCCTTTTTCATCATGAGCAGGGGGGGGGGGGGGGGGGGTTCGAACCGGTAGTGACCCCCCCCGTTTTCCGGAGGGGGGGGGGGGGGGGGGGAGGGGTTCGAACCGGTAGTGACCCCCCCCGGTTTTCCGCCAGCAGCGGTAGAACACGCTCTTTCTGACCTTTCTCGACCGTGAAGGTGTCTATGATGGTGGCCGCCATCATCCTCAACTTGAACGTGTTCTGGAGGGTGAGTTTGCACAGGGTGCTGAGGAGGGACTGCATGTTGGCGTCCGTCGAGGTCCACTTCTTGTCCGTGTGGTTCGCGCCACGTCGTCCGCGTCGACCACCTCGATGTCCTTTGCTCTTGCCCTTGCCGCCCTTGCCGCCGTCCTTGGCTGCGCCCTCGGCTCCCGTCTCGGCTGCGGCCATCATCTTGTCGCCGTCCCTGTCGCCTGTCCTGGGAGTCTTCGAGGCTGGAGGCGCCGAATCGTCTCTTCCAGAGGGCCGCGAGGCAAGGGAGGAGCCCGTCAGGAGCCACGCAGGGGGCGGTTTGGCTCGCTGGTTCTGCTCGCCCTGGGGGCGCGCTGCCGCCGCCGTCATCCTGCTGCGAAGGCGGGCTCTCGAAGGGCAGGAGCTGGGGTGTTGTCGCGGCTGTTACCCGCGACGATGTAGATTTCCAAGCTGATGTCTCTGGCGGTGCCGAAGATGTCCTGGCTATACGTGTCACTGGTTGGGCTCTCGCTGCTGCTGGTCCCCGTGCGCGGCCAGGTGGAGGGGCTGCTGCTGGTTGAACGAGTTCTTGATAACTAGCTCGTAATCTGTCTCGCTCGTCTGGTGTATCCACTGGCCTCCACGCTGGCGGCGGCGGAGGGACGCGTGCGAGAAGGCCGCGTCTGCTGTGGGCTGGCTGAGGCTGGGAAGTCTTGAGCCAAGATCCTGACGGACACGGTGGGATGTGTGCGCGAAGGTGTGCCCTGAAGGCCGTTCGATCTCTGTATTCAACTTGGCATCCTGGGAGGTCGCACTGGTCCTTCAATGGACAGGTCATCGATTCAGCTGTACTCCATTCGTATGTGTGCCTCGTGAGCTCAGGGACGCATCGACCCGACATCCACGCTCGAAACAAGTGTCGCCTCGTATGATCAATGCTGCTGAAGACCGTGTTGCAATTGACGCATTTGTTGTCCACGCAAATCTGGGAGAGGACGAGGGGCGTGCCGTGGCCAGGAAGGGTTGTCGCATTGAGCTGATGCTTGACCAACTCGCGATTCGTGGTGAAGCGTGCACGGCATCCCTCTATCCCGCAAACGAGTGGGGCGAGCTCCTCTTCCTCGCTGTCTGTGTCGCCAAGGGGGTCATCGCTCGGGAGCTGCTGGGCGACGTGTTCAGGGGGAGCCCACTCTTGTCCTCGCACCGTCGATCTCATGACACGAAAATCACATACACGGAAGGCCTCCGAAACTTCAGGGTTGCAGAAAAGGTTCTCCAAGGTACGAGGCTCCCAGAGTTCTCGTACGTCTTCGCCTACGGGGTGGGAGGAGGAGGAGGAGGAGGAGGAGGAGGAGGAGGAGGAGGAGGAGGAGGAGAGGAGAGGGGGGCAGCTGGCAGCACGCCGCGGGCACACCTACATTCAACGGAACGCGTCACCCCATCTCAAGCTGGGTCTGCCCACAGAGCGTTTGGCTGCAGCTCTGAACCAAGGCTTCCAATATAACAGTCTTTTGTTATTTTTCTTCGGTGTCCAGGAAAAGTCGAGTAACATACTAGTCTGCCCCAACATTTGATGATATAGTTGTTGCAATACGCATCGACTCGTAAAGTTGCACGTCTCATATAATCAACCCAGCTTTCATCGTCATCTCTCGCCACGCGGAACGGGGGGGGGTGCGAGGGCCCACGCCGATCGGCAAAACAATGCATCAGAAAACGATCGCCCCCCGCGGGGGCTGCTTGTGGGCCTCCCCCCAGCGTCCCCGGGCGGCTGCGGCGGGCAGACGTGTGGCCAGTGGGTGCTGGGCACTGTCTGCCACGGCGCCCTGGCGGCCCCAGTGAGCAGCACCTGCCTGCCCTGACAGATGGCCCCCCCCCCCGCCCGCGCCCGTGACCCCTGTGACACTTCAAGGGGCCCCAGGACACACAAAAAAATACACACAAATAAAAAAAAACAGATTTTTCCATATTTTCTGGGTTTCTGTCTTTTCCCCCTATTTTCCCACATGTTCTGGGAATCGACGATGAATTGTATGTGTTTTTTCCCCTCCTGAACACTGGTCGGGCCTCTGGCCGAGCGGCTGACTCTGCCGGCCGTGGTGTACCCCGAGCAGGGCGCCGCCCGGAAGCGCCCGGAAGCGCCGCCCGGAAGCCGATCTGCGCTGGGCCCCCCCTCCCTGGCGCGCGGAGCGCGCCAGGGGCGGCGCCGGAGGCGCCGCCAGGAGGGGCCCAGCGCGGATCCAAGCAATCCGCGCGGAGCGCCAGCAGTTGATGTTTGTGGCGTTTTTCTTCTTCGACCAACGGCGTTGCCCATACTTCCACAAGCCCACCGGTAAGAACAAGCGAACACGCAACGCTCTTTCCCCCCGAGGGCCCCGAGCCCGCCGGAAAGGAGAGGTAAAACAAAATCTGGTGACCGAATTATGGTCAAAGTCTCGGCAAGAGCACCACTTGCAAGTGCGATGGGAACAGGTAAGACGGCGGAACCCAGCGGAACACATGAATGATACCAACCTCCGCCACCTGGACCTTCATTTCATCTGACACCCTTGCCTTCCTCCGCGTTTCCGCATGCACTCCTAAGATTTGAAACGAATGGCACATGGAATGTATACGAGCGCAGCAAATTCGACAAACAAGCGTGCGGCTGAAGGACCCCGGCCTCCCATGAGTAGGTGTCGCCGCTGCCATAGGACTGCACCGTCATGAGGGCTCCTCGAGGGTCGCTACCACTATCACTGATCGAACCAGTCACACATCAAAACATAGCATGGCTCCTCCTCCTCCTCATCACCCTCCCCTTCCCTTCCTGGTAGAACGCCCTCGAACCGCATAATTACGTTGCTCATGTCCTTCTCCTCTCCTTCTCGACAGTCACCAATGTTGCTAGACTCTCGTCGGGTCCTGTCTCGTGGGCGAATTGGTCACGGGAAGGCCACAGCTCTTGAAAACGTCAAGAGCAAAGTGTCACCAACGAACAATGCTTCCCCAAGTGGTGACTAGCCTGACAAATTGGGCTGCCGCGTGTACCTACTTGCCCGCTCTCGTCACATCCACCGCCGCCCATCCAGCCAGCGCAAGGCTTATTGCACTTCCACTTCGTGGACACCGCGGCACTGCGCCGCAAGCCAAAAGAGGCACACGAGCAAGAGGAATGCCCTGCAATGCCCCAATGCAACATCTGAGGAGGTTCGATCATGCTGCGCTCCAGGTCGGCTCAAATGAACTCTTAAACTATATCCGCCACCGTGCCTCGAGGCACGAAGTGGAGTCATCCCCAAGCTCACATCTGTTCTCTGTTCTCTGTATTCAAGACTGGGGGGTTCTAGTGTTCTAGGGGCTGGGGCCCAAAATTCTCAAATTTCCTGGGCGCTCCTGGGCTGCCCCGGCCCCAAGACGGGCCCAGAGGGGCCAAAGATGCGCCCAAGGGGCCTCCAAGACAGCCAAAGAGCGCTCCAAGACGCCTAAAATGGCCCCAAGACGTCCCGAGAGGCCCCAAAGAAGCCCCAGAAACGCTCCAAAAGGACCCCCAAGGGGGCCCAAAGAGGCAAACATCACTGATGTCTCGTATGTTTGTTCGCTGTTTTCAAGTTCTCGCGTTGTTGGGCTTCCGCCACTCCAAAATCCCCTCCGAAGCCCCAAGACCGCCCCAAGACGGCCCAAAAAGCCCCTCTGGAGTCCCAAGACGGTCCAAGAAGGCTCCAACACGGCCCAAAGGCGCACAAGGTCGCCCACGAGGGGCCCCAAGATCGCCCCTAGAGGGGCCCAATAGGGGCTACGCGAACCGGCATTTCGAGCCTTCCGCCCCAAGAAGAGAAATCCGTTCCCCGGTAACCTGGTACATTCCCCGGTGAATTGGTCCACTCCCCAGTTGTTGGTACATTCCCCAGTGAATTGGTCCCATTCCGAAGCTGTTCAACGTTTTGCAACAGTTCCTTAGCATTGGCCCCAACAGGACCCCAAACGAAATGTCGGTCAATTTTGTCATGTTTCGGGTTGCGTAATTGTTTGCTCGATGTCGTTTTTGCGCGATCTTCCGCTGGCGTCGTGGGCGATGCCGCAACGCGTGGTCGGGCCCGGACTCGCTTGGGCCCCGTTGAAACGACAGCCATGCTGGCGCTCCAAAAACCAGCGGAGGGGTTGAAGCAAATTGTACATGGTCCGCGCCGTGGGGGGCCGGGGCTCCCTGGGCTTGAGGGGGCCCGAGGCGGGCAGCCCTGGAGACACAGGAGCAGCGAGCAGCGGCTCCTCCTCCTCCTCCTCCTCCTCCTCCTCCTCATCCTCCTCCTCCTCCTCATCCTCCTACTCCTCCTCCTCCTCCTCCTCCTCCTCCTCCTCCTCCTCCTCCTCCTCCTAGCGATCGTTTGCCAAGGTCGTGCAAGAGTTTGTTAGGGGCGCGGCAGGCCCACGAAAGCAACACTGCATTGCAAGGCCGCGCGGCGTCTCGAGCGCTGGCGCGGCGTTCGCTCGCGGAATTTCCCTTGGCCCAATCAGGCTTCCACGCGCCCAGTGCTCCTGCTGCGCGCCAACTTTCTCGTCCTCGTTTTTGGCCCTCTGCTCCCACCCACGCGCATGCTGGCGTCCAGGGGGAAGCGGTGCGGCCAGGCGTGGTGCCTCGAAATCGTCGCCGTGGCGTCCCTTTCGCGTCGAAGGCAGGAGAGAACGCGCCACCTCTCGCGCCCGGAGTGCGCTGCGAGGCGGCCCCGCACGAGGCGGCGCCGAAGCGCGGGGGTGGCGCGCGCGGTCGTGGATGCCTCGAGGCGGTGGTCGTCGTCGTCTTCAGCGTCGCCTCCGTCGTGTTCGCCGTTGTCGTCATCATCGTCGTCCTCGCCCTCCTCTCTGCACCAGCGCGTCGGGGCGAATGGACCCCTGGCGGTTCCTCCTTCGCTCGCGCGCGCGCGCCTGATGCGCGCCTTCCCAAATTGGAGTGGGGACACTGCTCGCCGAACTGATTTCGGGGCCGGCTTTGCCAGACAAGTGGGGATGCATGTGTTGTAAGGCCGCCTCCCCGGCCAGGACGCGCTCGCGCGCGCGCGCCTCGGGAACCGCGCCCAGAGGCCTCTTCCCAGCACGCTGCGTCGAGCTTGCCCTTTGGCCGCCCATGCTTTCGCAGGAAGTGCGCCCTCGTTCTCGCCCCGCCTTGACTCTGGCGCGCCCCCGGG